TATGTACAAAACAAAACACTGCCCGCTCCTTTGCCATCCTCACAATTGCTGCCATGTGTGAGCCCATTGTTGCAGCTGCTGGGTCAATCCATCTCGTTGAGGGCCTTCCTCTGTTTCACTGACCCTCTGCTTTACCAAGCATATCTGTCTCCAGGGACTGGTCCCTCTTGATAACATGCCCAAAGTATGTCAGATGAAAGTCACACCACCTGGACTTCCAAGGGGAATTTTGGCTATACATCATTTGATTTCTTGACTGCTGTTTCCATAGGTGATTTTTTTCTTTTTTTTAATAATTTTTATTGTGTTTGGATGATAGGTAAAATCTTTGATAAACAAGTTTTTAATTTTTATGAGGTTCCATTTGGCTTTTGTTATCTGTGCTTTTGTTATTATGCCTACTCCTCACTTAGCAACTATCTCATCTAACATTTTACATTTATGACAATAGTAAAAAACCTATGTATTTTGCACATTAATGCCATGCATCTGGCAGTAATGAACACCAAAGTGCAAGGGGATAGTAACACTAGCTGTGATGTTTAAGGTTAGGAGTCAACTTGGCTAGGCCATGATTCTCAGTGGTTTGACAGTTATGTAATAATGGAGTCATCTCCATTTTTCCATAATGCTGATATTTATGTAACATCCTGGTCTTTGGAATCTAACCATATCGTTAAGTGGGGAGTGGGTGTGTATTAGATAATCCATTGTTGAAAGCTAGGCCTGACAGCATTGCCCCTACTTGTCCTTCTAAAACTTCAATGGTTTTAGTTTACACATTTCAGTCCTTAATCCATTTTGAATTTGTTTTTGTGTATGGTGTGGTCCAATGCCTTAGGGACTATGCCACCAGAGCTCCTAGTACAACATAGTGAATGTAATTAATGTTACTGAATTATACACTTAAAAATGGCAAACTTACTGTTATATGTATTTTACCACTACAAAATAATTTAAAAAATGAATGGAACTATTACTACTAGTAACAGCAATAATAATAATGCAAATACACAAGTAATACTTATGTATCACTTATTATGTGCCAGGCACTGTTTTTCTAAGCACTTGTCATATAGTTCTCATTTAATCTTTGCAATAACTCTTTGAGGTGGTATTGTTAAATGTTATTGAGATGGTTCCAACTGATGGCAACCCTTTGTACAATGGAACAAAACACTGCCCAGTCGTATCCCATCCTCATAATCATTGCCATGCTTCAACCTACAATTGTAGCCACTGCGTTAATCCATCTCACTGACGCGCTTCCTCTCTTTTGCAAACCTTCTACTTCACCAAGCATGATGTCTTTCTCCAGGGACTGGTTGCTCCTGATAACATGTTCAAAGTACTTGAGATGAAATCTCACCTCCTCACTTCCAAGGAGCACTCTGGCTGTACTTCTTACAAGATAGACGTGTTCATTTTTCTGGCAGTTCATGGTATAGTTAATGTTCTTTGCCAATACCATAATTCAAATTGTATGAGGTAGGTACTATTAATCCCATTTACTGATGAGTAAATTAAGTGACTCATCAAATCATACAGCTCAAAGATGCCAAGTGACTTGGTTTAAGGTCCCAAAGCTGGTAAGTGACAGGGTCAAAATTCTAATACAAATCCAGCTTTTGTTACTAAATCTGTAACATTTTCCATTAAACTGCCCTGCTCTTTGATTTACATTTATTTCCTCTCAGCTTTTATTTGTCAGTGTTTACACCAGGAAGGATACACATTTCATTCTAATATATCAAACTTAGAGGCATTTTGTTAATGGTTATCTATTTTAGTCAACTAACAAAGCCTTCTCAAAAAAATGACCTGTTAGGAAGCAGTAGGAGAGAAGTGAGCATTTATAAACATTTCATAATAGAGACACTGGTCTGCAAAATTTTTTTAGGAGCCTATACACTGCTCAAAACAGTTGGTGGTGCAGTGGTTAAGCACTTGGCTGCTAACCAAAAGGTTGGCATATCGAACCTATCAGCTGCTCTATGGGAGAAAGCAGCAGTTTGCGTCCCTCTAGATTTACAGCCTTGGGAACCCTATGGGGCAGTTCTATTCTGCCCTATAGGATTGCTTTGCATCAGAATGTACTCAACAGCAGTGGTTTTGATTTTGGTATACATTTCTAGGAGCCCTGGGGGTGAGTACACATCACCTCTATAGCAATGGGTATACATTTCTAGGTGCCCTGGAGGCGTAGTGGGTAACCACTCAGCTGCTAATCAAAGTGTCCGAGGTTCAAACCCACCCAGCAGTTCCACAGGATCAGCGATCTGACAATCTGTTCCTGTAAAGATTACAGCCAAGAACCCTTTGGGCAGTTCTACTCTGTCAAATAGGGTCACTGTCAATTAGAAGCAGCTTGATGCCTCACTAAAACAATATGCACTCCTAAGGAACTCTGGTAGCATAGTGCCTAAGGCATTTGACTGCTAACCAGAAGGCTGGCGGTTCACACCCACCAGCCACTCCTCAGAAGGAAGGTTGGGCAATCTACTTCCGCAGTGATACCGCCCTGGAAACCCAAGGAGGGGTTGCTATGATTCAGGTCCAACTCCATAGCACATAACAACAACACAAACAAGGAGGACACAAAATACTGAGTACTGTATTACTGAAAAGGAGCTCTGATGGCACACTGTTATGACATTTGGCTGCTGATGAAAAGATCAGTGTTTTATACCCAATAGCTGCTCTAGGGGAAAAAGATGAGGCAGTCTGCTTCTGTAGAGGCTTACAGCCTGAAAACCCTATGGGGCAATTCTACTCTGTCCTATAGCATCTCTATGAGTCGGAATTGACTCAGTGTCATTGGGTTTGGTTTGGTCTTGTATTATTAAATGCTATTTCATGAGATTTATATTAATCAAACAATAAACAGAAACACCAAATGTTTATTATATATTTTCAATTATGAAATATACACAATATTTACATAACATTAAGTATTTATATAGCATTAAGATAAAAGGCAGTAAGAAATACTGGTTTAGAGGTTAACAACGATTACACTTGAAATATAAAGTGATTTCAAGTACACAGTATAAAATGAAAATAATTATTAAAGAGTATGTTGAAGAAAAAAAATCTTAGCATGGAAAGTTATAAGCCACATGGCTGAGAACTTTCATTAATTGTATTTTGGATCTTAGTATGCAAGCCTCTGACTTATGAAGTCTAAGTTTGCTTTCAACAAATCACTTTGTCAACATAACAAGATAAATGTACAGTTAATTTGTTTATGTGCAATCTTTAAACACAAATGAGGAACAAAACTTTGAGAGTACTCAAAATACTAATCAAAAGTGTACAAAAAACTATGTTGGGAAAAATGTCAAACATTATAGCATAATAAATGTAAATCATATTAGAGATGTAAACACACTTCATAGAAAGAGTACATCAAACCCAATAATACAAGCGTAAAGAGATGGATATGCACCATTTTCAAGAGATGAATATTAATCCAATAGAGAATGGTCCATTGTCAAACAGGGTAAGCAATTATCATGGAGCAAACTGAATCAGTGATAATACAATCACAAATTTTTAAATACATTTGAAAATACTTTCAATATTTATTTAAACATAAAATATAACAAAACATAAAAATACTATGAAAATGAGCCTTGATTAATTTGGAATCAAACAATTTTATCAACATGAGAAAGTTCAGGTAAATTCTTGTTTATAAATTATCTTAGAGAGAAATGATTGGGATTATTTTCATTATTGTTAAGAAGTGCGATGCTGAAAGCAAGACTGAGATTTTTTTTGTACGTGCTATAGTGAACTATTTGGTATGGCTCTTCTAGCCATGATCTTTGTGACTCCTACCAGATGACTTGGTGGAACTATGCAAATGTAAGGTGCTTATAGCCTACCAAGGGGACTGAATAGCTTGTTAGCAATGGAAATAAGGTACATGGCACCCTTGTGGGGGTGGAACCACGGAAATAAGGTGTATAGAACCCTAATGTGAGGATTAGTCAGTTTTGCCATGTTGCTAGGCTTAAAATGAGTCATCCCAAAGATAGAAAGGGGGATCTCTCACTACCATCAAGACAGAGAAGAGCTGAGAGTTGCATGAGTCCTTGGACCCAAGACCCCTGCACTGAAACACTGGCAGAGACACCAGCAAACACGACAGCAGAGAGGCAGTAGCAGCAGAACCAAGAGCCTGGCATGAGACACAGCAGCAGGCTCTCTGGCCCATGGAGTGAGAAGGCTGAGTTCCTTTGGGCAGGAGCCTTGCTGGTGGAATAGGGTGCCTCTCTGGGCAATGGCAGAGCTAAAAGAGCTTTGTAACACTTGTCGGAGCAGGGTAGAGGCCAGACCCAGGGGCCAAGGGCCAAAGAGAGGTGTGTCTTTGGGTCCAGCCTAGGGGTGGCTGTCCTGATCAAAGAATTGTATCTTGAACGTTCCTGAACCTGAACTGTAACCTGTTACACTTCCCTAATAAACCCATACTCGTGAGTATTGTCTGTGAGTTCTATGTGACTGCTGCAATGAATTAGTGACCCCAGCAGAGAATTAGAGAGTGCCATGGGAGGGAGGGTTGCAGTCAGAATTGGAAAAGAGGTTGGAGAGTGGCAGCATGCCTGACTTCTGCCTCATGAGAATCAGCTTTGGGCTTTTGCTGCTGATCCTTCTCTTTCCCCCTCATGTAGTCAGAGGAGGTAAGAGGATGCCACCCCATGCCCTTTTTGCACAGTGCTATCTAACTTATTATTACTTGTGTATTAAACATCATACATATTGGGAAAACAATATTTTCAATTATATCACATTATATATTAACAAAGCAACTTATATATTCGTAAGTTATAACTTGTAAGACTTACATAGGTTATATAAGTCTTTCTGCAGAAAATAAAAAACCCAGAATAATTTATATTACAAGTTTAAAAAAAAATATGGCAAACTAACCTGATAATTGTGACATTTTGTTGTTCGCCATGATTATCTTGTCTTGAAGTTACCTACTCCATAAATTATATCAGGAATCTTTGATCCACCAATGTTTTGGATGCCAAATTCCTCTGTCCTACTGTATTACGAATAAATCTAAAAATCTGGAAAAAATTAAAACAATTCACAATGAAAACGAATATAATGAAAATTACATACATACATCAATTAAAATATCTAAACTAAATTCACTAATTCACGTAACTATTTAATTTGATATATAAGATATATGAATCACATGGTGATACACAAATTTTAAATAAATACTGTTTAGACCACTATCATCGTTCCTAATATCAAAGAAGCATATGTTCCTATTTCAAGTAGGAAATGGGTGAGAGTTAGAAGATAAAGGGGTTTGTCAGTGCCTGAGCCCTGAGCTTGAATTCCAGTGCTCGCTTATTTGCTATGTTAACATCTGGTGCAAAGGGTAAATGGGACTCTCATCACTACTGACTCTGGTGTCTAAGAGACAGGCAGTTTAAATATCTTCCTACTGGGTTCTTTTCATGCTCAAGCAACTTGTGTTCTCCACTACCACAACAAAATGCAATGCACCGCTGTCAAGTCGGATCCGACTCATAGCGAACCCTCCTTGGGTTTCTGAGGTGGTATCACTACAGAAGTAGATTGCCCAACCTTCCTCCTGAGGAGTGGCTGGTGGGTTTGAACTGCCAGCCCTCTGGTTAGCAGTCAAATGCCTTAGGTGCTACACCACCAGAGCTCCTTATGCTCTCCACTAAGCCCTAGAATTTCATTGACCTTAAGGACATGGTATAGAAAAAAAGTTAGCTGAAATGTTACTCCTTCTTCTGGTATTCAAAGCTTTTACAAATTCCTAGTGAAAAGTAGATATTGTTATATTCTGCTATAAAAATAAATATGTATTTCCAACATATTTCTTTTATAAGATACCTGGAAAAAAATTGAAAAATTTACCTCTTGTTGTAAGTATGTAAGGAAGGCTGCTAAAATAAAATTTTGGCAAGCCAAATCCACAACACAAAAGAAGAGTAGATCAAAGATAAGAAGGGTGGCTTCATTTCCATAATACAGAACATTGCTGAAAGAATAACCTTCATCTATTAAAAGAAAATAAACAAAAGAAATTTATAGGATATATATTAGAAATTTAAAAATAGAACAAATTTATGATAAATGTCTGGTGGTAGAAACTAAATGCAACGCAACGGACTGCCATCGAGTCCGATCCGACTCATAGCAACCTTTCATTGGGTTTCCGAGGTGGTATCACTACGGAAGTAAATTGCCCAACCTTCCTTCCGAGAAGTGGCTAGTGGGTTTGAATGGCCAGCCTTCTGGTTAGCAGTCAAATGCCTTAGGCACTATGCCACCAGACCTCCTATGGTACAAACTAGTTACTACATATATACTTAATGTCTTTAAAAAATACACAAAGGGTAAAAATTTTCTAGGAGTTCTGGTAGCATAGTGCCTAAGGCACTTGACTGCTAACCAGAAGGCTGGCAGTTCAAACCCACCAGCCACTCCTCGGAAAGAAAATGGGGCAATCTAATTCCATAGTGATACTGTCTCGGAAACCCAAGGGGGGGTCGCTATTAGTCAGGTCTGACTTGACAGCACATAACAACAACAACAAAAATTTACTAATCTAAACTTTAATCAAGGAATGCACTCACAAAAAGCAGTTTAAACATTAGCACCAAGTGGTTGCTAGTAGTTTAAGTATATAGTCAATATCTTTCAAAGACTAGGTAGTGAATATCCTTTCTCTATTTCTTTATATAACTCAAGGCTAAATATATCTCAGAAAGATAAAATAAAGACAAAACAAGCAAGGAAAAGTACAGAAATAGTACAGGGTATGCTACAATCTGTTTCTCTTACACACACACACTACATACACACCCGTTGCTTCTTCATGCATGAAATTTCTCTGGAAATAATAGAAAGAAGCAGCTGAGGGGGAAGGGAACTGGGTAGCCAGGGATAAGGAGTGAGACTTTCCATCATACATCCTATTTGAATTTTCAATCATGTGAATGTGAAAACAAGTAAGATTAAAAACAAAACTGAAGACTAATGGAGTCAAGTTTTCTGGTTAGCCCCCATCCCCAAATGTCACAAAATGAAATCTGTATCCCATATCTCAAGTCTTCCCACCCCCAGCCAATGACCTCCTTCAAACACTGAGGTCCCCACGCCTTGTCATAGAGTTCAACACTTCCTTCTCTCACACCAAGGAGTAGTGTCCTAGACATTTAGGTCATGTAGACTCAACACCCTCTATCAGTGGAGCACACCACCCTCTCCCCACACTAGTCTTCTTTGGGTCTTACTCCTCTCCCTGTTTTAAAACTTTTCTCTAGGTTGGCTCTTTTCATTTTACTAGAAATAAGCATAAGCTTCTTTAATCTTTAAAAAGAACTAAAAAAAAAAATAAAAAAAGTAAAAAAGCTCACTTTGCTTGATCAAACATCTGTCTCTGGTTACGAATCTTTCCTTCACAGCCAAATGCCACAAAAGAAAAATCTACATTCACTCTTTACTTCTTTATGTCTCACTCAATTTTCAATCAGGATTCTGTCCCTAGTACTCCATTGAAACTCAGGTGAAGGGAAGGCAACATACAATAGGGGGAAAACCAAGAAACCCACTGTCATTGAGTCGATTCTGACTCATAGCAACCCCCACTGTGTTTCCATGGTGGTCAGTCTTTATGGAAGCAGACTGCTTCATCTTCCTTCTGCAGAGCAGCCAATGCATTTGAACTGCCAACCTCTGGTTAGCAGTCAAAATGCCTTAAGCACTGCATCACCAGAACTTCTTCACAACAGGGGTAGGTCAGCACAGAATAATCAAGGCAAAAAAAAAAAAAAAAGACACTGGGAGGAGTATAAGAATTAAAGGCAACAAAAGTAAATATATTATATATACAATCCTGCAGTAACAGTAATAACAATGATATACTAGTGAAGACATAGACACACAAGCTGAACAGGAAGGTGAATGGGGCTGCTATACCTACAAATATATATATATAGGTTTGACAAAGGGTATTTCTACATATATATTTATATGCACTGTAAATATATCCATGAGTTCAGTAGAGCATTGATACTTCATACATTCCATGTTCCAATTATGTATGAAGTATGAATGTAGGAAAATTGGAACTTGTCAAAAATGAAATGGAATGCATAAAGATCAATATGCTAAGTATTAGTGAGCTGAAATAGACTAGCTTTGGCCATTTTGAGTCAGACAATCATATGATCCACTATGCCAGGAATAACAAATTGAAGAGGAATGACAGTATTCATCGTCACAAAAAATGTTTCAAGATCTATCCTGAAGTACAATGCTGTCAATGATAGGATAATATCCATATGCCTACAAGGAAAACCCATTAATACTACGATTATTCAAATTTACGCACCAACCACCAATGCCAAAGAGGGAGAAATTGAACATTTTTACCAACTTCTGCAGTCTGAAATTGACCAAATATGCAATCAAGATGTATTGATTATCACTGGTGATTGGAATGCAAGAACTGGAAATAGAAGAATCACCAGCAGCTGGAAAATATGGCTTTGGTGACAGAAATGACACCAGGTATCACATGATAGAATTTTGCAAGACCAATGACTTATTCATTGCAAGTATCTTTTATCAACAACATGAATGGTGGCTATAGACATGGACCTTGCCAGACTGAATGCACAGGAATCAGACTGACTACATCTGTGGAAAGAGGTGATGGAGAAGCTCAGTATTTTCAGCCAAAACGAGGCCAGGGGCCTGACTGTGGAAAAGGCCATCAACTGCTCATATGCAAGTTCAAGCTGAAGCTGAACACAATTAAAACAAGTCCATAAGAGCCAAAATATGACCTTGATTCTATCCCATCTGAATTTAGAGACCACCTGAAGAATATATTTTATGCAATGAACACCAATGACCTAAAACCAGAGGAATTATGGGATGACATCAAGAACATTACCCATGAAGAAAGCAAAAGGTCATTAGAAAGACAAGGAAAGGAAGAAAAGACCAAAATGGATGTCAGAAGAGACTCTGAAACTTGCCCATGAAAGGAAAGTAACTACAGCAAATGGAAGAAACGACAAGATCAAAGAGCTGAATAGAAGATTTCAAAGAGCAGCTCGAGAAGACAAAGTCAATTATTATAATGAAATGTGCAAAGAACTGGAGTTAGATAACCGAAAGGGAAAAACATGCTTGGCATTTCTCAAGCTGAAAGAGCTGAAGAAAAATTCAAGCCTCGAGTTTCAATACTGAAAGAGTCTACGGGCAAAATATTGAATGAAGCAGGAAGTATCAAAAGAAGATGGAAGGAATACACAGAGTCATTGTACCAAAAAGAATGGATTAATATTCACTTATTTCAGGAGGTGGCATATGATCAAGAACCAATGGTACTGAAATAAGAAGTCAAAGTTGCACTGAAGGAACTGGCGAAAAATAAGGCTCCAGGAATTGACGGAATACCCACTGAGATGTTTCAATAAGTGGATGTTGTGCTGGAGGCACTTACTCGTCTATGCCAAGAAATTTGGAAGATGGCTACCTGGCCAACTGACTAGAAGAGATCCATATTTGTAACCATTCCAAAGAAAGGTCATCCAGCAGAATGTGGAAATTACTATCATTAATATCACATGCTCCTAAAATTTTGCAGAAGATAATTCAAAAACAGTTGCAGCAGTACATTGACAAGAAACTTCCAGAATTGCAAGCTGGATTCAGAAGAGGACGTGGAATAAGGGATATCATTTCTGATGTCAGATGGATCTTGGCTCAAAGCAAAGAATACCAGAAAGATGTTTACTTGTGTTTTATTGACTATGCAGAAGCACTTGACTGTGTGGATCATAACAAATTATGGATAACATTGAGAAGGATGGGAACTCCAGACCACTTAATTGTGCTCATGAGGAACCTATACACAGACCAGGGGGCTGCCATTTGAACAGAACAAGTGAATACTGCATGTTTTAAAATCAGGAAGGGAGTGCGTCAGGGTAGTATCCTTTCACCATACTTATTCAATCTGTACAGTGAGCAAATAATGCAAGAAGCTAGATTATATAAGGAAAAATGTGGCATCAGAATTGGAGAAACACTCATTAACAACACTGTGACACAACCTTGCTTGCTGAAAGTAAAGATGACGTGAAGCACTTACTGATGAAGATTAAAGACTACAGTCTACATTTTGCATCACACCTCAACATAAAGAAAATGAAAATCCTCATAACTGGACCAATAAGCAGCATCATGATGAATGGAGAAAAGACTGAAGCCGTCAAAGTTTTCATATTACTTGGTTACACAACTAACACCAATGGAAGCAGTAGTCAAGAAATCAGATGATGCACAGCAGTGGGCAATTCTGCTGCAAAAGACCTCTTTGAAGTGCTGAAATGCAAAGATGTCTCTGTGAAGACTAAGGTGTGCCTAACCTATGCCATGGTGTTCTCAATCGCCCCATATGCCTGTGAAAGCTGGATAACGAATAAGGAAAACCGAAGAAAGTTGGTGCTTTTGAGTTGTGGTGTTTGTGAAGAATACTGAAAGTACCATGGACTGCCAGAAGAACAAATCTGTCCTGGAAGACGTGGAGCCAGAATGCTCCTTGGAAGTGAGAATAACCAGATTTCGTCTCACCTACTTGGTCATGTTGTCAGAAGGATACCATGTTTAGTAAAGTGCAAGGTCAGCAAAAGAAGGGGAAGGCTCTCAATGAGAGGGACTGGCACAGTGGCTGCAACAATGGGCTCAGATATAGGAAGGATTGTGAGGCCGGTACAGGATCAAGCAGTGTTTCGTTCTGTTGTACACAGTGTCGCTATGAGTCAGAGCCAACTGGATGGCACCTAATAGCAACATAGCTGAGCATAAAGGGGACAAAGTTATGTAAATTTTTTAGCCATAACCAAATACCTTGAGGGAATGAGTCAGTGGGTCTTGGGCTCAGAAACATAGTCTCAGGGGCTATCAAAGTCAACTGGCATGACTTAGTCCACAAAGACAATGTTCTATATCCTACTTTGGTGAGTAGTGACTAAAGCTTAGAGCAGCCAGCTAAGGGGCAACTATTGGTTTCTCCCCAAATGGAGCAAAGAAGAGTGAAGAAAATCAAAGATGTATAGAAACAATTAGTTCAAAGAACTAATAGACCATGCTAACCACAGCCTCCATGACCCTGAGACCAGAAATAGATGGTGCCAGGCTACCACTGCTGATAGCTCTGACAGGGATCACAATTGGAAATCCTGGGACAGAGTGGGAGAAAAATGTGGAGTATCTATTTATTTTTTGAGACCTAGTTCAAAGTGGCATAGTACCTAAGGCATTTGACCACTAACCAGAAGGCTGGTTGTTCAAATCCATCAGCCACTCCTCAGAAGGAAGGTTGGGTAATCTACTTCCATAGTGATGTTGCCTCAGAAACCCAAGGAGGGGTCACTATGAGTCGGATGTGACTCAACAGCAGTGTGTTGCATTGTTGTTGTAGCTCAAGGTTCTCTATGTGGCCTCTTCTTGCTTCACTCTACACTCCATTAGATTTTATACTTTCTGTTATCATCGTAATTTGCACCTGTACAGACTTCTAACCCAGTATTACTCCACTTATTCACTAACACAACGATCTTCCATGTTCTACTAGACTACACATCTAAGGAAGGGACTATTCAAGGAAGGATCTATGTATCCTAGGATGGTTACCACATCTGGCACTTAGTAAAGATGAATAAATGATCTCTACACCAGGACATTGGTTATATCATTTCCATTGTTACCTACTCATACAACAGATTATCTGTCATATTACAAGTGACATATATACCTCCTTTTAAATAGTAATAAACAAGGTTTAGTCACTATTTCTATCATAAATATCAGTGGATTTTTAAGAATTTGGATAAAACGAAAATTACATGTTAATGATTAATCACAAGTGTTATTTTTTTCTAAGAATCTCATAATTTTCTAAGAATTTCATTTATTGCAATGTTGAATGAACACTGCAATAAAATCTATATTTTATTTATTTTACTATCTCTTCCATGTGTACTGTTGATTCTGAAATTCATATTGTGCTTTCTAGCCATGGTCTTGTGATTCCCATAAAATGATCTGACTATGCAAATAAGGTGTTTGTGGCCCACAAAGGAAACTGGACAACCTGCTAATAATGTAAATAAAGTGCATGGAACACTTATAGGGGTCGTTGTTGTTGTTATGTGCCGTCAAGTTGGACCCGACTCATAGTGACCCCTCCTTGGGTTTCCGAGGCAGTATCACTATAGAAGCAGATTGCCCCATCTTCCTTCTGAGGAGTGGCTGGTAGGTTTGAACCGCCAGCCTTCTGATTAGCAGTCAAGTGCCTTAGGCACTATGCTACCAGAGTTCCCACTTACAGGGGTAGGACCATGCAAATAAGGTATATGGAATCCTGACAAGGTGATCGGTCAATTTTGCCATCCCACAGGCTTAAAATGAACCAATCGCAGAGGATGGAAGGGTGGATCTCACTACCATCAAGAAAAACCAGGAACAAAGAGCATCCTTTGGATCCAGGGTCCCTGGCTAAGAACCTCCTATACCCGAGAGAGAAAGTAACAATGTAGTCAGCAGCAGTGTGAGACAGCAGGAACCAGGAGACTGGCCAAAATGGCACAACAGGACTCCCTGCCCACAGAGTGAACTACCTACAGTGGTTGCCCTGACCAATGGAGTGAAAGAGCCAAGTGCCTTTGGGCAGAAGCCTTTCTGGAAGAGTAGTGTGCTTCCAAGCACTTATCAGTAGAACTACAGAGCTTTGTAACAATTGCATAAGGAGGTCAGAGATCAGGCTGGGGGCCAAGGGCCAAGAGAGCCTGAAGCCTAAAGGCACAGCCAAGAAGCTGTTCTGATGAAATAACTAAGTGCTGAGTTGTTCCCATTGCTTCCAAGTTGATGCTGATCTGGAATTAATTTTAGCCTATTACTTTCCTAATACCAAAGCAAACCAAATTCACTGCCATTGAGCTGATTCAATTCACAGTGACCCCTCCTTGGGTTTCCTAGGCAGTATCTCTATGGAAGTAGATTGCCCAATCTTCCTTCTGAGGAGTGGCTGGCTGGTGAGTTTAAACCACCAGCCTTCTAGTTGGCAGTTAAATGCCTTAGGCACTACACCACCAGAGTTCCCACTTCCCTAATAAACCTCATGATCTGTGAGTGTGGTCTTTGAGTTCTGTGTGGTCACTGCAACAAATTATTGAACCCAGCTGAGAATGAAAGTGCTGTGGGAGGGATGGCTATTGTAAGAATTGGTGAAAAAAAAAAAAAGCTTGGAGAGAGAGGGTATGCCTGACCTCCATTTCATATGAATCAGCCTTGGGCTAAAGCTATAAATGATTTTCTTTCCCCATCTTGAAATTAGAGATCTGGCATTGCTATGTTCTGCTTACACTATCTTTTATATAAGATAGGTGCTGTCTAATGTCCACAATACACTCGGGAAATAGGATGTTATGTGATTTGGACGTTGTGTGAACACTGTATTAAATGGATACCTGCTTCTGGTCATCCTTGCTACTGCTGGAGCTGCTGGCAGAGGCCAGAAGAAAGGGCACTGGAAGCAGCAGTGGCTGAGGAGGTGGCAATAGAAGAAGAGCGAGAGGAAGCTGAGTGAGGAGGGAGCCGACTGTACCTAGCTTCACCCACTGTTCTGTCCACCTGAGCAGAAGGAGCAGCCTGGGCCCCATAGCCCCTGCCACCAATGCATACCTGCCCACTGGACACAGCCAGAGAGCCCATACCCAGAGCCATATCCTCTGCCTCATCTGCGTATATCCTAACCATGGTCCAGTGCTACAAGAATCTGGTTTTGGAATCTTTAAAACCATTAGGAAAAAAATGATAAACAAAAGGAGAGCTTATTTCTTTTTAAAGAAAAAAAAAATCTTACAGAACCATGAACACATACGTGGACAGACATTGTCTGAATATATGTTAAGTGATGCATACCTGTATTTGTGTCCTACTATTTGACACAATGGGAGCTCTGGTGGCATAGTGCCTAAGGCATTTGACTGCTGACCAGAAGGCTGGTGGTTCAAACCCACCAGCCACTCCTTGGAAGGAAGACTGGGCGATCTACTTCCATAGAATACTGCCTCAGAAACCCAAGAAAAGGTTGCTATGAGTTGGAACTGACTCGATGGCAGTGAGTGTTTATTTATTTATTTTTTTTAATATGACATAATAAAATAGTCTTCCTTCTGAGGAGTGGATGGTGGGTTTGAACCATCAGCCTTCTGGTGCCTTAGGCACTACACCATCAGAGCTCCTTAATGAAATAGAACATAAAGAAAACAACAATTCCATGAAGTTAACCAAGTTCACTGCTTTTTTTGTTTTTATAAAAATTATAAAATTAAAAGAAAAACAAGCATTTTTTCCCCTCAAACTTTGAAAACATTATGATCAAGTTCATCAAAGGAATTTGAAGGATACCATTGTAGAAGATGCTTTTTTCCATGGGTTCCATGAATTCTATCCCAAGGATTCTTTCAAGAAGCAACTTGTCTTTTATAAAGTAGTCCATTTCCTTATGAACCTAATAGAAAAAGAGAGTCATTTCAAAAACAGCAGTGATATACATATACTCTCATTACTATAAAATCAGAAGGAGAGAAAATAAAAAATGAATAGTACACAAAGAAAATCTGTTCTTCAAAAAGACTGATTATATGTCACCGTACTTCATAACAAAATTATCCTTAGTAATAAGTTTTAAAATTTAAATGACCATGAGTAGTACTTAGGGCTAGATATACTGAAAATCAATTTATAACAAGCTTTTCAGGAATTCAACTATTGTATAACATGAAGGATTTGAATAAAGTACTGGTAATTGGTACCTGGCTAAGAAAATTCCAGTACAGGCACATTTTAAGGGAATCATAATTGTGTTAATTGACATAAAATTTCATCTTACTCATATATAACCGAATTTTATGTCTAACCCATATTAGGTAAAAGAATTCATTGTTTAAACAATCTTTTTTTATTTTTCATAAGTAATGTTATTTATAAATTTATAAATAATATTTCTAAACAATATAAATAAGTCTATATTTATATTGTTTATAAGAATCTTTCTTAAAAATCTCATTCCTCAGTATTAAATTTGACAGCCAAAAAAGGGGCTTTAAAGTTTACTGACTTAAGTGATTAAAGAAATTACTGACATTCCCAATTAACTTTTTAAAAATAACATTTTATACATACATGATCGATGAAGGAACCAAGAAATTTATTCATAGTATGATAGGCTTTTATACTCTGTTCAAAAGAACTTGCTGATGAACTCAATAGTCTAGCAGGGCCATTTTTCTACGGGGAAAAAGAAACAAGAATAAATGAAATGGCTTATGATCTCAGTATTTAAACAGCATGAAATACTGGCAAAATATATTTGAATTGTACTTTATACAAACCCTTGTTAGTGTGTCATGAATTCTGTCATAGTGTTGTCTCATTTGGCTGGAAATTGCAATCTGAAAAGTCTGATCATCTGTATTGGGTACCAAGCCTCTCTGACTACACAAATTTTCCTGAAAAGGTAAAGAATTTAAATCAAAAGCAAGATTATAAAAATTTTGCCTATCTCAAAACAAAAGCCCAGCATTTTTCTTTTGTTGGTATTATACATTGTAAAATACAGAAGTTAACTGAAATTTTACTGAAATATATTTGACAGAAGGATTTTAACACTATCCAAGATTTCTCCTATTGTTGTTGTTATGTGCCATCGAGTCAGATCTGACTCATAGCGACCTCTCCTTGGGTTTCTGAGGTGGTACCACTATTTAAGTAGATTGCCCAAACTTCCTTCTGAGGAGTGGCTGGTGGGTTTGAACCGCCAGCCTTCTGGTTAGCAGTCAAGTGCCTTAGGCACTACGCTACCAGAGCTCCTAAGGTTTCCCTTAGGTTTTACTAATTTCTACTTTGTTCTAACTGGTAATTCCCTGCAGATTTTTATAATCCCCTCTACTCTGCTCTATTTTTTGAAAAAAAAAAAAAATTGTTCATTTTACACTATTATACCTAGCCGCCTTTATGATTAACCTCATTGTTCAGAAAAGTCTAAGAATTAACTACTTTTACAATCATAAATAGTCTTTCCTGTTTTCTAAACATTTTAAATGCTTCTTTAATTAATGGCAATAAAACTATAGTGATATGTGACTCAACAGTTAAAGTTTTGGACAAGTGATCCTCAAAAAGAGTTGAATTCAGAGAACCACAAACACATAAACTTTTGCCCTGCCCACAACCTATCCAGTTTCCACTGATGCTTCAAGGCTTGGCTCAAGTTCTCTCACATCCGTTGAGCCTATTCATTTACTCTGGAGCTTAATATTCTCCTTTTTTGTCTAAATCTAATCTGCAAACAAAATACAGCACTTGGTTTTCTACAGACTTAAAAGAAGTCTACATGTACGGAACTTCTCTATTTTTAAAAAAAAAAAAAACCTCCTCTGATTAAAAACACATGCCATTACGGAGAATTTATAAAATATGGAGAAGCACAAAAAAAGAAAAGAAAAAACCTCAACACTCATAGACATAAGGATTTTATGGTATTTCGTTTCCAGTCCATTTCCTAGTTACATACTATATGTTGCTGTTGTTAGGTGCCATCAAGTCGGCTTAGACTCATAGTGATCCTATGTACAACAAAACCAAACACCGCCTGATCCAGTGCCAGCCTCACCATACCTGCTATATCTGAGCCCATTGTTGCAGCCACTGCGTCAATCCATCTTGCTAAGAGCCTTCCTCTTTTTGCTGACCCTCCACTTACCAAACAGGATATCCTTCTCCAGAGAATGGTCCCTTCTGACAACATGACCAAAATAGGTGAGACAAAGTCAGGCCACTCTCTCTTCCAGGGAGCATTCCAGCTGCACTTCTTCCAGGCAGATCTGTTCATTCTTCTGGCAGTCCATGGTACTTTCGGTATTCTTCACCAGCACCACAACTCAAAGCATCATTGTCCAGCTTTCACATGCATATGAGGCAACTGAAAATACTATGGCTTGGGTTAAGCACATTTTAGTCTTCAAAGAGATATCTTTGCTTTTCAGCACTTTAAGGAGGTCTTTTGCAGCAGATGTGCCCAGTGCAATACAACATACGATTTCTTGACTGCTTCTTCCACTGGTGTTGACTATGGAAACAAGTCATATGGTATCCTTGACAACTTCAATCTTTTCTTCATTTATTATGATGCTTATTATTCATCTAGTTGTGAGGATTTTCATTTTATGTTGAGTGTAATCCAAAATGCAGACTGTAGTCTTTAATCTTCATCAGTAAGGGCTTCAAGTCATCTTCATTTTCAGCAGCAAGGTTGTGTTGTCTGCATACTGCAGGTTGTGAATGAGTCGTCTTCCAATCCTCACGCCGTGTTCTTCTTCACGTACCAAAACCAAACCAAACACACTGACACTGAGTCGGATCTGACTCATAGCGATCCCTCCTTGGATTTTCGAGGCAGTCTCACTACGGAAGTAGATTGCCAAATCTTCCTGCCAAGGAATGGCTGGTGGGTTTGAACTGCCAGCCTTCTCGGTAGCAGTCAAATGCCATAGGCACTATGCTACCAGAGCATCTCAGATTATTTACTCAGCATACAGATTGAACAAGTATGGTGAAAGGATACAACCCCGATACACACCCTTTCTTATTTTAAACAATGCAGTATCCCCTTGTTCTTTCTGAATGACAGTCTTCTATGTACAGGTTCCTCATGAGCACAAGTGCATGCTCTGGAGTTCTCATTCTTCTCAATGTTACCCATAATTTGTTACAGCTGAATGCCTTTGCACAGCCAATAAAACACAAGTAAACATCTTTCTGGTATTCTCTGCTTTCAGTCAAGATTCTTCTGACATTAGCAATGATATTCCTTGTTCCATGTCCTCTTCTGAATCCAACTTGCATTTCCATAAGTTCCCTGTCAATACACTGATGCAACCGTTTTTGAATTATCTTCAGCAAAATTTTATTTGTGTGTGACATTAATGATACTGTTTGATGATTTCCATTCTGTTGGATCACCTTTCTTCGGAATAGTTACAGATATGGATCTCTTCCAGTCAGCTGGCCAGGTAGCTGTCTACCAAATTTCTTGGAATAGATGAGTAAGTGCTTCCAGCATGGCAACTGTTTGTTGAAACATCTCAATGGGTATTCTGTCAATTCCTGGAGCCTTGTTTTTCACCAGTTTCCTCAACGGAGCTTCTACTTCTTCCTTCAATACCATTGGTTCTTCATCATATGCCACTTCCTGAAATAGATGAACACTGACCAATTCTTTTTTGGTACAGTGACTCTGTAGTCTTTCTATCTTTTGATGATTCCAGCATCATTCAATATTTTGCCCATAGAATTTTTCAATATTGTAACTCAAGGCTTGAATTTTTTCCTCAGTTCTTTCAGCTGGAGAAATGACAAGTGTGTTCTTCCCTTTTGGTTTTCTAACTCCATGTCTTTGCACATTTCACTATAATAACTGACTATGTCTTCTTGAGCCACCCTTTGAAATCTTCTGTTCAGCTCTTTTATCTTGTCATTTCTTCCGTATGCTTTGGCTACTCTCTGTTCAAGAGCAAGTTTCAGAGTCTCTTCTGACATCCATTTTTGTCTTTTTTCCTTTCCTGTCTTTTTCGTGACCTTTTGCTTTTTTCATGTATGATATTCTTGCTGTTATCCCACAGTTTGTCTGGTTTTTTGGTCACTGGTGTTCAGTACATCAGATATATTCTTCAGGTGGTCTCTAAATTCAGATGGGATATAATCAAGGTCATATTTTGGCTCTTGTGGACTTGTTTTAATTGTCTCAGCTTCAACTTGAACTTGCATATGAGCAGTTGATGGTCTCTTCCACAGTCAGCTCCTGGCCTTGTTTTGGCTGAAGGTATTGAGCTTCTTCATCGTCTCTTTCCACAGATGTAGTCAATGTGATTCCTGTGTATTCTATCTGGTGAGGTCCACGAGTACAGCTGCAGTTTTTGTTGTTGAAAAAAGGTATTTGCAATGAATAAGTTGTTGGTCTTTTAAAATTCTATCAGGTAATATCTGGTGTGATTTCTTTCACCAAGGCCATATTATACAGGTAGAACATAACTGTAATCAAACTGATTTCTAACTTGTCAATTAAAATTGGTCATTCTATTCTATTTTTTTTTTTTACTTTTTATTGCCATTATAAATATCCCTGTGAAGAACCTGAACCTTAATTAACTGTTGACATTGCTAATTATTTTCTTGAGTCAGATTCAGAGAATTAGTGAGTCAAAGATTATGAACTCTTAAAAATCTTTTCTTATGTATTTTCAAAGAAGGTCTGGTGGTGCAAGTGCAGTGGTTAAGGCATTTAGCTGCTAACCCATTGTTCAATGGTTCGAACTCACCAGTTGCTGCATGAGAGCAAGACAAGGAAGTCTGCTTTTCTAAAGATTTATAGTTTTGGAAACCCTACAGGGCTTGGTATGAGTTGGAATTGACTAGAGGCAGTGGGTTTTGTTTTGTTTTTTTTTTTGCTTTTTAATATATTGCCAAGGTGCTTTCACTAAAAGTTTGTAAAAATGTATCTTGATACCAGGAGTTTTGTGAGTACCCATTTCACTCTGTCCTTGATGTTATTAAGTATTAGCTTTTTGAAAAAGTGTTTTATTTTGAAGAGAAAAAACTTATTTATGAGTTAAGTATTTTTAGTAGTTTATTAGTCTCTTCTGTTTCACTGCTAATGCATTTAAAAATAGTTTGGTTATTTTTCCATTTAAATTTAATGTCATATTGACTTGTATGAGTTTTAATATTGTTATCACTATCTATGACACATTTGTTAAAAGCATTTTACTCTAATTTACTATGTCTTATTTACATAACTGTTAGATATGCAAATGTTCTATATTAATAAAGTAAAATAAACTAATATTTTCTTTTTGATGCTTTCTCTTCTTTATGTTTAGAACTTATTACCCCACAATCTGAAATCGTTTTAAGTTTTTATGGTTCCAGTTTTTACATTTAACTTCTCAATCCAGGAGTAATTGCTAATAGTTAATCAACTGATCTAGTTCAATGTAAATAATAAATAACAAAAATAAATAAATAACACTTTTCTGAGATGGCATTAAATTCCAAACGTTATTATGTATTAAATTAACAACAAGTCACAGATACAGCCCCTTATCACTAAATCCTCTTGGGTTTTTCTCTTAAATATATCTTTTTTCTTTTTAAAATTTTATTACGGAAAATTTTAAACATACACACTAGGAAGAATGTTCAACCACCCATCACCCAACTTCAACAATTAGCAACATTGGACCAATTTTGTCTCATCTATTCACCCAACTGTTTTTTTCTTGGAATATTTTAAAGCAAACCATTTATCCCTAGATATTATGCCATTTAATCTGTAAATACTTTGGTATATATCTCTAACTAGTAAGGACTTAAAAAAACAACATAACTACTATACCATTAATACACCTAACAAAATTAATAATTCCCTAATATAGTGTAAGATTTAGTCCATTAAATTCCCTAAATTTTTTTCAAAGATTTTTAAAGATAATTATTTGTTTCAATCAGGATCCAAAGTTCACCCACTGTATTGGATTGTGTTGTTTTTCACATGTCATTATCTAACAGTTCTCTCTTCCACCACCACCATGCCTCTTATTCTTTTCCTGCCAAAGATTTGCTGGAGACACCGGGTCTTTGTCCATTTGTGAAACATCCTAACTATGTTCTGGCTCAGGCTTCCTTCTGGTATTATTTAACCTGTCCTCCTACTCCCTGTATTTCCTGTAAACTGGTGTTTAAATCTAAATGTTTGATTATATTTAAATTTAATTTTCTTAGGCCAGGTGACGTTATGTACTTCCTACCACATCACACCAGAAAGCAAGCACACAATGTCAGTTTTTTCCATTTTCACTTATAATAAGATTGATCCGGTGTATTCGGATTATGTCAACCCAATCCCTTGTTATAAATTTCCTTGTCAATATTCACTTAATTGTTTTAACATCCATTGATTGTAGCTTACGTTTATTAATCCATTACCAACAAATGAAAATCCACTGTCATTGATGTGTTTCTGACTCATAGCAGCTCTATAGGAAAGAGCAGAACTGCCGCATGGGGTTTCCAAGGCTGTAACTGCTTAGGGCAGCAGACTGCCTCATCTTTCTCCTACGAACTGGTGGGTTTGAACCGCTGACCTTATGGTTAGCTGCAGAATGCTTTAACCACTGTGCCACCAGAGCTTCTTCATTAATCTATTAGGTATTGAAGAATGCTGATTGTCTAACTTATAATTCCTTTTATTTTCTTATATAAGGAAGAATTTTCCTAGGAACTACAGGGTAAAATTTTATTTTTCCCCTTTGTCAACATTCAGGCAACTTTCAAAAGTGATCAATAAAAATTATTTTAAAAGTAGTATTACAAACTCCAGATTAGGAAAAGAGAATTCATCTCCCAAAGACAAAAAGATGTAAAATCCATTCATACCGCTTCTCTTTTAAGATTCATATTCATCTCTTCCATATTAGTATCTGCATGCCCATGTACTGATCTACCATGGATATAATACCCAAAACATCTGTGGGATAAAAGAAACACGGATATCTATGAAAAAAGAAAAAGGTGCAATTAGCAACTCCTCTATAAAACAAGCAAACAAAATATTTAAGCTTTTTTTGAAATTATTTTCTTTTTCCTTAAATAATGAGGATTGAATTCTTGAAAAATAAATTAAGAGGGTAATTAAAGTAATAAGGGAGATTTTAAAAAAAGTTAATAGAAAGGGCACAGAAGATACTTTCTAAGAAAAGAAGAAATTAGGTTGATACATGAAAAATTTTCAGGGTCCCTGAGCTGAACTCTTTGAGAGCAGAAGGAATGCATCATTAAGAAACTGAAAATAAAGAAGAAAAAACTAAGGTGGTTAAGTATTAACTTATAGCTGGCTATAACTAATCTCTGGAATTAAAAGCCAGTAGAAAATTAAACTAAAAATGCAATTATACCAAATCACTTTTAAAGCCTCTCTTAATGTACTCATGACCTTTAAAAAGAGAAAAATAATGGTTGCAAGATAAAACCAGAAAGTACTTACATTGCTCATACAGCATAAATCAACGAACTGTCGAATTTTATCTTCTATAAATCTCTCATAAAAAACAGCAAAGAACATGATCTGAAACATTAAGCCAAGTTCATGCTTATTAGCTTTCAGGATTTTAATTTTCTTTTATAGCCACAATGCAATCTCTTAGAAAGAAAAAAGTTCCTCTAATGGCTCCTGTGGGAAAAAAACCCTACATATCATTTCTCAATCTTCTGGTAAAGGAGGAAGGATTTTGGAACTGCCTTAAGATTCATTAAGTGAGCCTATTTTGTATTTAAAACACTTTTCTGTATCATTAAAACAAAATACAAAAAACAATGGGGAAGGAAAGTGCTTTTAAAAAATGTACGTGAAACCAATGTATTAACAACCCAATTTATATCTGGTTCTGCAATTTTATCCATCTTCTAAATTCCAGAAGGCATTAAAAAAGCTTGTTTTTAAATTAATCTGTGACAGAATAGCACATAAAAAAGTATATACACCCACTCCTCACTTATAGTTTCAAAGACCAGGTCATTTTCTAAAAATCAGCGTTATGCAAAAATGGAGGAGGACCGTATCAGATCACAAAATGGAGAATAAGTACATCATGACATAACTGCCAAATTACATCATGACAGAACTGCCAAACCACTGAGATTCATGGCCCAGCCAAACTGATGCATAACCTTAACCATCACAGCCAGGGTTACTCTTGCCATGCATTTTGGCATTCATTACTGATAGATGCATGGAGTTAATGTGCAAACTAGCCACACAGCATATTTACTATTGCCATAAATGGGAAATGTCAGATAATAAGATAGTCAATAAGTCAATAAGTATAGGTGTAGTTCATTACAACTACAGATAATGTGTAAAATATTCAAATAGAATGGTTTCAAGAGTTTTCTCAGATAGATTCAATAATACTAGGAAGAAAATTTTATTTAAAAAAAAAAAAAGTTTGTATCATGGACCTTCCTTCTCAACTATCCTTCCAAGAAAGATGCTTCCTAAGCATCCTATTTAAAGCTGTCCCTGCTGCCCCCATTCCTAATCTCCATTCCCTCTACCTTCATTTACTCTCTATCTCATTTCTCTGCTGATTTCCTTCAAAGGACTGTCACAGTCTTTAACTTGTTCTTGTTACAGCATATGCGTGAGCATGAGCTTAGCACAGTGCCTGGTACATAAAATGTACTCAAATATGTAATGATACATAAAAGAATCTGTAGCAGCCAATTATTGAAAATCTTTCTAAAACACTCTGTACATTTTTCTATCTACACCCACTAGTGGCCGAGATAAAAGCAAAACAAAATAACAAAAACAAGAGGTGAGGACAAATTAGGACCTTCATGTGTTGCTGGTGGGAGTATAAAATGGAACAGCCAATTCAAACTTGTCGGGTATAACTTCTTAGCCACAGCCATCCACCATGAGGGAGCAGGTAGTTAGACCTGTGAGCTCGGGACCATGGTCATAGGGGACATCAAGCTCAATTGACATAACATATATACAAAAACACTGTTCTACATCCTACTTTGGTGAGCAGCTACTGAGGTCTTAAAAGCTTGCAAACAGCCATCTAGATGCAACAATGGGTCTCTCCTCGTCCAGAACAAAGAAGAATGAAGAAAACCAAACACCCATGGAAACAATTAGTCCAAGGGACTAGTGGACCATGCAAACCTTAGCCTATATGACCATGAGACCAGAAGAACTAGACGGTGCCTGGCTACCACTGTCAACCATTTGGAAAAGGATCAGTGCAGGAAATCCTGGATAGAGTGGAAAAACAATGTGGAACAAAATTCAAAATCATAAAAAGAAAAAAAAAAAACAGGTTTACTCGTCTGATAGAGCCTGCTGAGACCCCCGAGACTAAGGCCCCTAGTTACTTACTCTTCAGGTCTGGAATTAACTCACCCCTGTGGCTACCAGCCAAACAACAGACAGGCACATGGGTGAACATTTACATCAGGTTGATACACTCCCTAGAAAAATCAATCATGGGAGAACAGAAGGGCAGTATTTGTACAGGGAGATAGCTCAGAGGGCAGGAATGTATAGGAAAGAAGGACAGGGAAGAGGTAACTACAGGGAGGAAATGGGAAGAGAACTGGTACACTGTGGGGAATTGTAGTCAATGTCATGAAACAAAATGTGTATGAACTACCGAATGGAAAATGAATTTGCTCTGTAAACTTTCACCAAAATCACAATAATATATTTTTTTTAAATAAAAAGACTATATATATTCATATTCCAGTTTTGCCAAGTTGCGTGACTTTGAGTAATTATTTAATATTTCTATGCCTTAGTTTCATCTGTAAACTGAGGATACTAATAGGACTTATGTCTAAGGGTTGTTATAAAGAGTATGTGTAAAGTAATTAATTAGCACAGTTACTGGCTTGTAACACTATTCGGAATTAGCTATATTACCTTGCAACTCCTGTTGCAAACTTTCTTTCGCTACAGAAATGACAATTTGGTCAGTATTTCAGGCTAATTAGTATGCAAATAGGGTTATATAAATAACTCGTCTTACCTGTATAATGCCAATGACTAGCCAAAGGGCAATAGACAATGCGTATCTCAAAATGCGGCTGTACGGAGCTATGTAGCTAGACGGGCTTCTGGAAAGACTAGAGGATGAGTCCATTAACGCCAAGTTCTTGAATCCCACAACCTGGGATGAAAAGGAAAAATAATGATTTAAACAGACAAGGATAAAGAGAACTTCTCTCAGCTGAAAATGGGATGTTGTTCCCTACTCCTTACCTTGAAAACTATGAAATATTCAATTCATACAAACAAAACATCAAGATAAAATTATTATTCAGTATTTTAATTCCAAAGTATTTACTACAAAGTACTTAGATAACATCAACAATTTATGTAGTTAATTCATTTGGCATTCTCTTCACTGTAACTAAAGGCTAAATTTTACTATCATACACATGCAAGATAACCGAAAAATGTTTGTCAAAAGACTATATTTTTTTCAGAAAACTACCAGTGAATAAAACCAACAACTATTATTTCATGAGTATTTAATATGTGACTGGTATTATGCTAAATGTTTTTATAGTTTTCAAACAGTATTTCCAAAATTTCTTATAAGGAAGATACCTTCTTTGATAAAAGACACAGTTAAAGAAATTTGGTCTGTACGTTATTCTCACCCTGCGTCTCCCACCCCTCATAGGGTAAAGGCTCTGAGAAGTTTTACCATAAAGGAATCTAGCTGAGTTCATTTAATCCAATGTTTTCCAAATCTACTTGACTGTAAAATTTCTTTTTCATATAACATCTTTTAAAGTTCCACAAAATACCCTCAGGAAATACAACTCTGATCGTTTTAAATATTTAAAAGCCCCAGTAATACACACATTCTTCTTTGAGCTTAAAAAAAAACAATGGAGAGGGGGAAAAGGTTGAAAGGAAGCATACAGAGATGGAAGGAAGACACATAAACATTTAAGAGTTAAAAATTCATATTTAATCTTATTTAAGCAGCCAGTTCTTGACAAAACCCATCACCCACATAAACAATTTCCAGGTTTTAGTCTATACTAAGTACTGAATACTTCATTTAGTAATTCCCACTGGATTCATGAAATAATTGTAAATATATCATAAACATGTACTCATTTATTGTGTCTTGTTCAGTTGTAGTCACTACTCTAAGCACAGTACACAGCTCATAGTGTTCTTAGCTGCTACAGAGTTGGTTCTGAACCACCGACCCTAATCACAACAGAACGAAACCATCCTCACAATTGTTACTATGACTGAGCCCATTGTTATAGTCACTGGTCAATCCATCTCATTGAGGGGCTTTCTCTTTTTCGTTGATCCTCTACTTTATCAAGCATGATGTCCTTCTACAGGGATTGGTCCTTCCTAATAAAATGTCCAGAGTAAATGAGATAAAGTCTCGCCATCCTTGCTTCCAAGGAGCATTCTGGCTGTACTTCTCCTAAGACAGATTTGCTCCTTCTTTTAGCAGTATATGGTATATTCAATATTCTTCACCAACACTATAATCCAAAGGTATCGATTCTTTGATCTCCCTTATTCATTGCCCAATTTTCACATGCATATGGGGCAATTGAAAATACCATGGCTTGGGTCACATGCACCTTAGTCCTCAAAGTGGAATCTTTGGTCTTTTGCAGCTGATCTACCCAATCAATACATCATCTCTTGACTTCTGCTTCCACTGGTATTGGCTGTGGCTCCAAGTAAAATGAAGTTCTGACAACTTCAGTATTTTCACCATTTATCATCATGTTGCTTACCAGTCCAGCTGTGAGAATTTCTGTTTCCTTTATGTTGAGGTATAACTTATAATGAAAGTTGTAGTCTTTGACTTTCATCAGTAAGTGCTTCAAGTTCTCTTTGCTTTCAGCAAGCAAGGTTATGTCATTTGCATATCACAGGTTATTAAGGAGTCTTCCTCCAATCCTCATGCCACATTTTTTCTTCATATAGTCCAGTTTTTCAGATTATTTGCTCAGCATACAGAGTGAATAATTATGGTAAAAGGATATAACTCTAACTAACACATGCTATTCCTGATTTTAAACCATGAAGTATCCCCTTGTTCTGTTTGAATGATTGCCTCTTGGTCCTTGTACAGGTTCTATATAAGCACAATTAAGTGTTCTAGAATTCCTCTTCTTCACAGTGCTAGCCATAATTTTTTTAAGAGCCACACAACGGAGTAACTTTGCATAATCAATAAAACACAGGTAAATCTTTCTGGTATTTTCTGCTTTCAGCCAAGATCATCTGACCTCAGCAATGCTATTCCTCATTTCATGTCCTCTTCTGAATCTGGCTTGAATTTCTGGCAGATTCCAATTAATGTATTGCTGCAATGTTTTTTTAAATTATATTAGCAAAATTTTACTTGTGTGTAACATTAATGATATTGTTCAGTAATTTCCATATCCTGTTGGCTCACCTTTCTTTGGAATGGGAACAAGTATGGATCTTTTCAGTTAGCTGGCCAGGTAGGAGTCATCCAAATTTCTATACAAAGTGAGTACTTTTAGCATTGTATCTGTTTGTTGGAATGTCTCAATTAGTAGTAGTCTGTCAATTCCTGGAGTCATGTTTTTAGCCAATGCTTTCAGTACAGTTTGGACTTTCAGTACATGGTACTGAAAACTAATGTAGTTCTTGATCATATGCTACCTCCTGCAATGGCAAAACATCAACCAATCCTTTTTGGTACATTGAGTCTGTATATTCCTTCTGTTCTGGTTACCTAGTGCCACTCTGACAAGAATATACCACAAATGGGATGGCCTTAACAAACAGGAGTTTATTCTTACAATTTAGAGGCTTCAAGTCCAAGTTCAAAGTGCCATGCGCTAGGGGCTGGGTGAAAGCCCCCCAGCCTTGGGCTTCAGCTCTGCCTCCAGCTCCTGGCCCACTGAAGCTAGAGGCTTTTCTTCACTCAGACAGCTGCTGGCTACTGAGGCTGAGAAGCTCAAGGCTGACAAATAAAATGGCACAGTCCCGATGTTACCAAACCACACGACAGGCCATTAATTTAAGTCCATTTTAAGTCCCAAGGTTGGCAGAGCATGGCAGGCTGCTGAACAACAACACAGCTACATGCAGGGTCCAACCATGCCATAAGATAGAGACTTATACCCAAGGCTTCCCCTTATATACAGGAAACAAACCACATCCCAAAGGCAGCTACTCAGCTGCTTGTGGTAGATCCCACCGTGAAGTTGATTGCCAGTCTCATCATGGGGAATAACTACCACCAGCTACCCAGCCACTCAACCAGGCCCAGCCAGTTGACATATAAACTGAACTACCACACCTTCCATCTTCTTTTGATGCTTCCTGTGTTGTTCAATATTTTGCCCACAGAATCCTTCAACAATATTGCAATTCAAAGTGTGAATTTTTTCTTCAGTTCTTTCAGCTAAGAAATGCCAAATGGTTCTTCCCTTTTGGTTTTCTAACTCCAAGTTTCTGAACATTTCATTATAATGCTTTGTCTTCTTGAGCTACCCTTTGAAATCTTCTGTTCAGCTCTTTTATATCATCATTTCTTCCATTTGCTTCACCTACTCTACGTTCAAGAGCCAAGTTCCAGAGTCTTTTCTGACATCCATTTTGGTCTTTTCTTTCTTTCCTGTCTTTTTAATGATCTTTTGCTTTCCTCATCTATAATGTTCTTGATGTCACCCCACAACTCATCTCCTCTTCAGTCATTAGTGATCAATTCATCAAATCTATTCTCAAGATGGTCTCTAAATTCAGGTGGGATATTCTCAAGGTTGTACTCTGGCTCTCGGGGATTTTTAAAAATTTTCTTCATCTTCAACTTGAACTTGCATATGAGCAAATAATTATCTATTCTGCTGTTGGCTCCTGGCGTTGTTCTTACTGTTGATACTGAACTTCTCCATCATCTCTTTCCACAGATGTAGTTGATTTGATTCCCATGTATCCATTCTGCGTGGTCCATAATAAATGCTTATGCTGCTGAAAAAAGTATTTCCAATGAATAAGTCATTGTTCTTGCAAAATTTTCTCATTGCAATCTCTGGGGTTGTTTCTATCAGCAAGGCCTTATTTTTCAATTACTGATTCTTCTTTGTTTCCAACTTTCGCATTATACTCCGTGCTGAATACTTTCTTTAGTAATTCCAACCAGGTCCATGAAATAACTTTAAATGTATCAGAAGTGTGTACCCATTTATTTGTTTTGTTCAGTTGTAGTCCCTAGTCTTAGCAGAGAACACAACCCACAGTAGATGCTCAATAATAATTTGTTGAAATATTTCAAGGTTATAACAGTGGTTCTAATACAGTGGTGAGAATATGAATCACAGAGGAGAGTGCTTTTTCAAAATAGATATACTGGGACCCTTATCAGAAACACTGAATGAATCCTCAACTTTAGGGGAAAGTCCAGGTAAAAGCATTTTGCAAAAGCTCTCCAAGAGATTCTGATACAAACCAAAATGGTATGAAAGGAGTATTTTAACCTTTAGAAAATTCATCTGCTGTCAGGAAACTGAGCTGGAATTCTACTAAACTAATATTCATAGTGGCTAAAGCACTTGACTGCTAACCAGAAGGCTGGCGGTTCAAACCCACCAGCCACTCCTCGGAAGGAAGGTTGGGCAA